TCAGCAAAGCTCATTATGAAGAAGAACAAGACCTGCAACTTGTCTTTCTTGATTGTCTAATTATCACCCATAGGAACAGGGAGAAGAATCTGGTTGTATTCACTGGTATTTAGCAACAATAAACAGGAGTGGCTTGGGATGAGGTATGAACCCTTCCTGTAATTCTTCTAAAGCTAACTTGGTGGTGGATGGAAAGAGCAACACCCGCCATTTAAACAGAGGTAAAATAATACAAAGCCTTCTCTGACCTTGGAAACCCTCATTGATCTTTCTTTTTCTTTGAAATTTTGCTGCACATATTGTTCTCAACATACAATTTAGTCCTTAATTATATCAAGTCATGCTGTTCAATTTCATGTGTGTTACATCTCTCCAAAGAGATCGGAAACCATTTGAAGAGGCAGATCATGTTTCCTCTTTCGTAAGACCCAGGTGCTGAGAATGGCAATAAGTTAAATAATCATACCCTATATTGGGGAAAGCTCAAATCATTTAGTTGGTTATATTAAAAAACTGGCTCATTCCAGAAAGTATGAAAACTAAATTTCTGACTAACATCACCTTTAAAGGCGAACTCCAGATGTATTGAAGACCTAGTATAAAAGGTAAAACTATAAATTTAATAAACGAAAATATACCTGGCTCGGTGGTTCATGTCTGTCATCCCAGCACTTTGGGAGGTGGAGGCAACAGGCTTGCCTGAGCCCAGGGATTCAAGACTAGCCTGGGCAACCTGGCAACACATGGTTTCTATACCCGGCATGATGGTGCATGCCTGGTTCCAGTTACTTGGAAGGCTGAGGTAGAAGAATCACCTGAGCCCAGTAGGTTGAGGTTGTGGTGACTGTAAGTATGCCACTGCACTCTAGCCTGGGTGACAGAGTGAGACTCTGATCCCCCCCCCCCCCCAAAAAAAAAAAAAGAAAGAGAGAGAGAGAGAAAGAAAATAAAGCAAAATAACTTTATGATTAGAAGGGAAAAAGGACCCTTTCTAAAAAAAAAACACAATCATAAGGCCAAAAAAAAAAAAAAAGATTGTAATTACTTCAAATTATGGATTTCTGTTTCATAAAGAACAATATTAATGTCAATATTAATAGAAAGCAGAATGGATAAGTGCAGTGTCTACAACCAACACACTATTAATGTCTAGAAACTATAAGGAATTCCTGCAAAACAATACAAATGAAGCAAAAAAAGCAACTCTAATAGATAAACATAAAACGAATACAGGCAATTTACAGAAGTGAAAGCCCAAAAGGCTATTAATAAGTATATGTAATAATACACAGACTCATCAATAATTAGAAAAATGCAAATTGAATCACAAATAAAATGCTACCTTATACCTATTGTGCTGGTAAAAATTAGAAAGCCAAAGAATACCAAATGCTATATGTAGATGGAGTGTGTGTGTTTCTCTAAAATTTATATTTTGGGATCCTAACTCCTAAAGTGATAGTAGGAGAAGCTGGAGTCTTTGGGAGGTAGCTAGGTTATGAAGGTAGAGGCCTCATGAAAGGGATTAGTGTCCTTATAAAAGAAAACTCTCTCATTACTTCTGTCTTGAGAGACACAGCAAGAAGATGGTCTTCTGTGAACCAGGAAGCAGGCCCTCACCAGACACTGAATCTGCTAATGCCTTGATTGCCCTGATTTTGAACTCCTTAGCCTCCAGAACTATGAGAAATAAATGTTTTTGTTTTTGTTTTTTTCTTTTTGAGCTGGAGTCTCACTCTGTCGCCCAGACTGGAGTGCAGTGGCCGCTCCCGGCCACCGCAGCCTAGACCTGTTGGGCTCCGGCGATCCTTCCACCTCAGCCTTCCAAGTAGCCGGAATAACAGGCGTGCGATACCACGCCTGGCTGATTTTTTGATTTATTGTAGAGATGAGGTCTCGCTGCCCAGGCGGGTCTCGAACCCATGGGCTGAGGCAATCCACTCACCTCAACCTCCCAAAGGTGCGGGATTACAGGCTGAGCCACCGAGCCCGGTTTGAAATAAATGTTTTTTAAAAGTCACCCAGTCCATGGTATTTTTGTTTTTGTAGCCCAGCTAGACCAAGACACTAAATATTGGCAAGGTATGGGGACAGAAATCCTCATGCATTGAAGATGGGCGTGCACACTGATTCAGCCATTCTGAAGTGCAATTCTACACCAATTAGTCAAATTAAGTATATGCACATTTCATGACTCAGTAGTTCTGCTTCCAGAAGTACTTGCACAGGTCCATAAGGGGATAAGTAGGAGTCTGTTTAGTGCAGCATTTCTTGGGTTGATGACAGGCAGGTATGTAGATAAAAGATAGTAAGTAGATATACACTATGAGTTATTATATAGCAGCTAAGAGCAATGAATTAAAGGTACAGCTAGCAAGATGGATAAATCTTTTAAGAAATTCTGAGTAAAAGAGGATGAAATGAAAATGACATAACACAAAAGATAAGTTAAAAGCATGTGCATGCAAAACACAAAATATATTTTTGTAAGAATAAATGCAAATAAAAGAGTACACATGAAACATAGAATGGATGTCTGCAGGGAGAGGGGTATAGGCTTTTCCTATGGGAATAAAGGAAAATAAACAATAATCAGATAAGGACCTTGCATGTACCCATGATGATAACGTGTCATTTCTTTTTTTTTTCCTTTTTTTTTTTTTTTGAGTTGGAGTCTCACTCTGTCGCCCAGACTGGAGTGCAGTGGCCCCTCCCGGCCACCGA